CAGGCAATCCACTCACCTCAGCCTCCCAAAGGCGCGGGATTACAGGCTGAGCCACCGAGCCCGGCTGGATGAATCTTAAGACATTATATTAAGTGAAATAAACCAGCCACAGAAAAAATACTATACAATTTCACTTACATAAAGTATATAAAATATTCAAATGCATAGAGTCAAAGAGTAAAATGAAGGCTACTGGGGGCCAGGGGAGGGGAGCATAGGGAATTTCTATTCAAAAAGCAAAAAAGTTTCATTTAGCAAGGTAAATATGATCTAGAAAATCTGATGTACATAATTGCACCTATAGTCAACAATAATGCATTGTACACTAAAAAAAAAACTTGTTAAAAGGATAGATCTCATGTGAAATCTTATCTCAATAGTGCAAATTAAATATATATATGGTACTTTAATCTGTTGACCACATTTATTTCTGGGGAAGGATGTAGAATTGGAGAGAAGTTAAAAAAGAGGAGTTTGCATTTTTCTTTACTTACTTTTGTATTGCTTGAAGGTTTTCATAATACAAATTTATTATTATAAAAAAGAAAATATTATGATTTCCTCTTTCCTCTGAATAACTGGAAATTTGTTTATGTGAATCCAATTTCATAATTCAGTCTTTGTGTTAATACTCCTGTTCTTAAACTTTAAATAAAAGTAAATTTATATATAATATGTTATGATAATATATAACAATGTTTTTGTAATATACATTTTAGTCATGCATCACAACAATGAGGATGTGTTCTAAGAAATGTGTCATTAGGTAATTTTGTCATTGTGCAAACATCATAAAGTAGATGTTTACACAAAACTAGATGGTGCATATTTATTTTTATTTTTATGTATTTTTAATTAGGAAAATCAAATGTCCCAGTACCATTACAGAATATCAGCCACTTCTCCTATTTGACCTTCAATATCAATATCAAGTGCCATATATCAGGTTTTGAAATATGCTGCATTATAATCTTATGGGACCACTATTGTATATGAAATAGCATTGCTGACTGAAATATTTAACAATTATTTTTTTATCTGGGTCATTTAACTCAATATGCTATTGGTAGTTATAGTTTGTTCATTCTCATTGCTATTTAGTATATCACTGTGTAAACATCAAACTATTTTCATGCATTCTACTATAAATGTACATTTTAGTGCTTTCATCAGCTGTTATATATAGTACTTCTGTGATAATTGATGCACACATCTTTAGGTGAAAATATGTAATGATGTTGTTGGATAAATACCTCGGAGCAGAATTTGGGGATCACAGAACATGCATATAATTAGCTTTCAGAGTATACTATCAGTTTTTAAAAATGATTTTACAAATTTATCTTCTATCAATGTATGAGGATTCTGGTTACTCTACACATTTCTTACCACATAACTTTTTTATTTTAGCCATTTTTGTCAGTGTACAGTGATACTACATAGTGGTTTTACATATTATTTTCCTTATGACTAAGGAAATACAGCATCCCTTCATGTTCACTAGTAATTTAGATATCCTTCTACAGAAACAAAACAAAAAAACTCCCATGCAAATCCTTGATCATTTTTCTGATGTATTTTTCTTACTGATTAACAACAATTATATATTCTTATATTCTGTACATTTGTCATTTGGTTTGCTAATTTTCTCTGTTACTAGTATATTTGATGAAACAAGTTCTGAATTTTAACATACACTAATCAATATGCTTCCAATATTGTTTTAGACTCTCCTGATTGTAAGGTCATGACGATATGCTCTTTGTTTCCAAAAACTGTATATCATTTTTCAAGTTTACATATATTAGACACTTGGAAGGAGTATGGTATGGTATGAGAACAAAAAGCGCATAATCACTCTTGGGAGTTACCTCCAAAATTTGACACAAAACCCTTCTACAAATATTTTTATTTGCCACAGCAAGTTACAGGAGCCGAGTCTACCTATAAGAGGCAGGGCATGTGCAATTACCCTATGTTCCTGAAAGAAAAAAAAACAAAAAAACAAGAAATGTTGGTAAACACGTAATTTCAAATTATTACCCCAGGCAGATATTTTAAAATGCATCTTCTAATTATTAAAAAGCCTATTTTCAATTTGTATGTTATTCTTTAAAGTCTTCAGGAAGTCTTTTTAAGTTCCTGTGATTATTTTATCAAAGGTTAAGTTGTGTAAATAATATTTTTAATTTTTGCATTTATTTATATCTGAATGAATATAATTTTTGTTTGTTATGCGGCAATAGATAAGCTTCTGTGTTGTCTGTTCAGCTGACTAAAGGTCTCTCATCTTACCTTGAGTCAGAAGACTGAAAATACAGGCTAACTAGAATTATTAATTAGATTTTTTTATTCAATTGACCTGGTATGTTCTCTTGGTCAATTAGGTTTGCTAACTACAAAAAATTTGTAAACTCTAGCCTAGGAATTTTTTTTAAAAACAAGTATGATACATGAACATCTAAACAGTCCTATTAACAATATTTTTTCCTAGAATTATAAAAAAATTTAGAAAGTACCACCTATTATCTATTCATCTATGACATTTTATGAACACACAGTAGAATTTACATGCTCATAAATTGACAAAGAACTAGAAGTTTTAATTGAAGGAAGAGAGATAACATAATTCTGGTAGATTCACTTAACTGCAGTTTCAAATAAAAGACTAGATCTATAATTAGTCATATGATTATGACAGAAATAAAAATAAGTCAAATATATATTTTAGTTTTATGTGGCTATCTTCAATTTGTTGCCCTAATATCTGGAATGTTTATTTTATATTAATACAAGGTTTCTAAAAATCCTGTCCCACATATAAATTAATCTGTAATTCTACAGTTTATTGTTTTTATCCTTCATAGTCTCTCATTTTTGGTTTCTCAGGGCATAAGACGCTCCCATTTTTTCTGTCTCTCACAAAACAGCTAAATACAACTTGACACATAAATATTAGTCTAGTGAATGTATCCTCAATAATTATTTGCCATTATTTCCTGTTTTCTTTTGCCCATTCCTAAATGCATGGTCTCTGTTTCCCCAGGTACCTAGATGAAAACTCTCAATTATAATCTGTTATGGAAACTTGCCTAAACCACAGTTTACTTATTTAAAAATGGAATATTTAACAGTTGCCAAATCATAGAATTTACATAAAAAACCACTGTGTTGATGTAAGTAAAGTATTTAAAACAGTAAATGCTAATGAGTTAAATAATATCATTAACATTTTGAGAATCTTGTAACAAAAATTATCTTCAATGCCTGAACAATTTTTATTCTATTGCTCTCATATTCCCTTCGGTGATTTGGAAATTGCTAAAATTTTAAAGTTATATGGCCTATTTTTCTACTTCCCCCAACAGTTAGATTTTTAGGTGAAATATTTTATGCCACCAAGCACTAAGCTATTAATATGAAAACAAGGTACTCTTTTTAGGATTACCTTCATTATAAAAATAATATAAATACACTTTGTGAAAGATGTAATATTTATAGATCAAAATATTATCATAAATAAACTCATTACTATCCTTAAAACTCAAAAGGTTGTGGAGAAAAAAAATGTCATTACAGCTTATATTCACCATTGCACCCTGATGTCTAGCTTTTAGGCAATAAATCTCTTCTAATAAACACACAGAATAAATATGAATTGTATAGCATTTTAAGACGACTGGTGGTTACCACTCTTTTTTAAAAAAAATTCTTAATACTCTCCCTCGAATCTGTTTGGTCCTGACCCCATAGATTACAGGATTGAGAGCTGGTGGAACAACCACATATAAGTTGGCTAAGAGGATGTGTATAAATCGAGGGATGTTGTGGCCAAAACGATGTGTCAAAAAAGAGAAAAATGCTGGTGTGAAAAAGGCTAATATAACCCCAATGTGAGAGCCACAGGTATTGAGAGCTTTAAGCCGGCCTCCCAGGAGGGCAGAGAAAAAACTGCATACAGTATCCTGATATAAGAAAGAATAATAAAAATCACATCCAAGAACAAAATAAACATATCTCCAAGGCCAAATATTATGTTGACTTTGATGCTGGCACAGGCCAGATGGGCAATGCCCATGTGCTCACAATAGGTATGAGGGATGATATGATTCCCACAGAAGGGCAACCTCAGGAGAAGAAACACCAGTGGAGCCACCATGCACAGACTCCGCAGGATAGCAATGGCGGCAATGAGGATGATGATTTTGCTGGTGAGGATCATGGTGTACCGAAGGGGCCTGCAAATGGCAACATAGCGGTCAAAGGCCATGGCCACCAACACAATGCTCTCCATGGCAGTGAAAAAATGGATGAAGAACATCTGGGAAAGACAGTCTTCAAAAGATATTTTCCTGAGACTGAACCAGAAGATGCCCAGCATTTTGGGGATGGTGGCTGTGGACAAGCCCAGGTCAATGGAATCCAACATGGCCAGGAAGTAGAACATGGGCTCATGGAGACTATGCTCAGTCTGGATCACAAACAGGACAGCAGCATTACCCAGGAAGGCAATGAGATACACAAACAAAAAAGGAAATCCAATCCAGATGTGTACATCTTCTAGCCCTGGGATTCCCAGCAACAGGAATGAAGAAGGACGGAATTGGGTGTCATTAGTAATAGACATTTTTCCTGCCACTACTGGTGATTGTGCATATCAGAATTTGAGCTTACTTCTCATTAGTAATTCTTGCTCCACTTCCTTTATTCCAGACTACTGGGAAAATGTAAAATAACACTTTAATATTTATTTTCTTCCATTCAATGTTATCAACACTTTCTGTCATCCTTATCTGAACATCAGATGCTTCCAGGAGTAAAGTCAGCCATACTCTTCTATAAATTCTTTCATACATAAAATGTTAAACAAAAAGAGAGAGGAGAAAAAATGTATCAGCTGAATATTCAGAGTAAGGTGTTAGAATAATCAAGGTATTTGTTCTTTGCAACTTCTAGTGTTACACATATTGCAGTTAATATACATGAAAAATGTTTAGCACATGTGATTCAATCCATTATCCTATTGGAAAATTTGAAGATCTTTAGTACATATCATGTCTTGAGAAGACCTATCAGGGATACTTGAAGTGTTTTTAATTTCTTGAGCTCTACTATATCCAAATTCTATCTAACCCTGCTTATACATGAAAAAGTTCATGTCACTTCAGACATCCTTGAGATTGGAGTCCAACAGAGATATTCTCTATCTCATATCTTGATTTTTTTTCTATATGATGTTTAAGTACTAAATAAAAATAACTTATTAAGTGATTTGTGATTCAGCAACTAGCTTGAGTGGCAAAATGTTAGATTTATTATTCCTGAATTAACATGATAAAACAATCAAGAAAAGATAAGTTTAATATTGGGTAACTTCCTGATGAAACAATTTTGAAAACAATGTGGAATGACATATTCTGGGGATGAATGCCTGGAAGTTGTCGGTGTCCTTATTTGAGTGTTACCCATCAGAGACAGATGCATAAGAAAATCATCAAAGCTGCCTTTAACCCAGAATAGAACCTACCTTTAGCAAAGAATAGTGTTCAGCTAGGACCCATTTGGAGTAGCAAAAAAGAAGTGATATTTAGAGATCATTTGATAAAATACAAATTAAAAATTTGAATAAGACTTGATCAATGTTCTCACAATGTAGTTGGGGAGACATAAATGAAAAGATACAATCATAATAAGATGTTGTATTATGTTAGAAAAAAATAGAAAATTCTGTCATTATAGAGTAGGACAAATGAAGCTCCAAGAAGGAGGCAAAAATAGATCAAGACCAACTGTATTTTTATAGACAAATAAGTACAGGAAATTTATTTTGGGTAGAGAGACAATTAAGTAGGCAATGAGAACAAAAAATCTAAATTGTCAGTGGTCCTAAATTGTAGGATAGATCTCTATTCAGGACATGAACTTTTTGACCCTCTATGTGACTGTCTTCAGATTTTGGAGATGTATGACTCTACTTTTAAATGAATAGTGTCTGGGTCAGTCTCAAGTCTTGTTGGAGCATAAGGTTGCAAGATTATTATAGTTTTATTTATTTATTTTTTTAAAAGTCCATCTTGTTCTCAACTCTGATTAACCAGGAGCATTCAAAAAAATTGGCACCCTCCTAGGATCTGAAACAACTATATTTCCAACTGAATTAACAATGAGAAAACTAACTGGTCAGTTATGCATTTCATAGAAGTTTATACTGATCTATTCTACCATGTATTCATAGATCTTCAAATCATTGCCAAATACAGTTATGAGACTAGGCCACCCTATCCTCTTTGAGGCAATGCCTTCTAATGTCCTAAAATAAACTTGTATCGAACAGCAACTTTCTTAATTGTGTCAAGTTAATATTTACCATATTCCACAACCTCTACCTATCCACCTAATTTGCCCACATACATGAACATCATTTTATGTCCTGAAACTGATAAGAAGAATAAATTACCTGCACTAGCGGTTTGCAATCAGGGTTGATTTTGCACCGAGGGTATATTTAACAATATCTGGAGTCATTTGTGATCATCACAGCTTAGGGCAAGTACTACTGAGCAGATGCCAGAGATGCTGCTAAACATCCTGAAATGCACAACTCCCTAAAACAAAAAATTATCTGGCCCCAAACCTCAGTAATGTTGAAGTTGAAAAACCCTGGTTTACACCTTTTCTTCTTATCTCTGCCTAATTTCTAGACCCATGGGTTATGGCTCTATAAAATGACCTATACTACCCACATGTTGTCCCATTTCTCAACTGCCTTCACACCTTATCTTGGATCCTATTTAAAAGAATTAAGTGCTACCAGCATTCATGGTTATACTTCATAATTTATTTGTCATGAATTTCTTTATTTAAAAATCATACATGTTGATCTCATATACTATGCCTGACAATGTGCTACGTACAGGAGTATAGTATTTGACCTCTTTGTAGTCATATTTGGTCCCTAGCAACTAAGATGAGGAAAAGCTGAGCTAATACAGAGTTTTTTCTGTCTGCATCTTATCTGCAGTTTCATGTGTAGGACTATAGATGAAATGTGATGTGTGTTCATGTAGGCCAAGGTGTAGCCATGATAGTTTATGGGTATACAATTTGAAAATCCGAAGCTTAACTTTACCCTTTCTTAATCCTTTTCTCAATTATCTGTAATACATTTACTTGTCCCCCCAAATCTATCATAAGTTAGCACGAACTCATCCCCCATCCCTCATGTTATTTACCATACCCTATAACAAAGGCTTACCTTGCTTTTCAAATATTTCTAAGAAACTGAACTTTGAAAGCACCATCTAACATCTCTATGAACTCACATTTTCCTAATAGAAGATAGACATTTATAGTGATACAGCAGCTCTCTTTCCACTGGGATATGGTCTGTAGTCTCCCTGGGTTCTTCCCTAGTCTAAGTGATATTCACTAGAGAGTTTACCTAAGAAATCTTCCTTCTTACACTGGAACTATGGGGAGTTATTTCTCCTCTTTCTCTTGCAATGATAGATTCTGTATCTTTTCTGCTTTTCAAATGCAGTTAAGATGAATCTTTGTCATTTTCTACTATGGCATGTTCAATCCATTTTTCATTGCTTTTTTTCTACATCCACTCTGTTATAGCTTAAATATTGATGTGGCTGTAACTCTTTTGCTCTACTCCTCATGAACTTTGTAGGTGAATAACTGAATAAGACAATAAAGACATGAGGGACCAGAATCCAGGAGAAAGGGAAGCTCACTAAGGTGAGTATAAATTCTTTCTCCATTTTTCCACTAGCGGTTTAATGATTATAGGATCAGGGAAAGACCCTGATGACCAGGGCAGAGGAAAGTCACTCATATGCAAGGAAACTCACAGATCTTACAGGGAAAAAATGCATTTCATGGTATGAGAAACCAAGATCTCACAATGAGAAGAGGTGCAAAAAAAGTGAGCTCAAAAATTGACACCACTCTTCCCATAGCATTATTTCCTTAATATAGATCTTCATCAAGCAAATGGAGAAAGCAGACATAAAGCAGATCATAATTTTGACAGTCATGTAAGGTTAAAAAGACAAAAATTAGTGTTCAGAGATAGCAGAAAGGATAGGGCATAGTAAAAACTTCTGAAAAACTACACCCCAAATGTAGATAAAGTTTTACAAAAATTACATAGTGATGAAATCTGCCAAAAGACAAAAAAGTATTTTCTGCAACAAATGAAGTGTTCAAAAGCTTCTACAGTATTCAAAAAAATTTATCTGGGTTTCAATTTAAAAATCTACTGGAAAAAAGCAAGAAAGCAAGCAAAAATAAAAAAGAAAACAAACTTACTCATACAACAATTGAATACTGGACATATCATACAGAGAATTTAGGATTACTGTGACCAATATATTTAAGAAAATAGATAACAAGGTGGAGAATTTCAAAAGAGATCTGGGGCCCAGAAGAAGAAACAAAAGGAGATTCTAAAAATTAAGACCAATAATAATAACAACAAAATAAGAACTTAAGAGATGATCATAAAAGAATATTGGTTATTCTTAAGAAATCTTAGAACAGGGGTCAGAAAGCTGTAAACTATGGGTAAAATTCATCTCATGGCCTGCTCTTTTTCGGCCAGCAGGCTAACAACAATTTTGTATTATGAAAAGGTTAATGAAGAAGAAGGAGTAGGGGGAGAAAAAGGAGAAGAATATGTGACCCATACAGTACGAGGCTCACAAAGCCTACAATAATCACTGTCTGACCTTTTACATACAATATGTGCAAATTTCTGGTTTGAATTTGTTAAATTAATATAACAAGATAAAAACAAAAGGGACAAAAATAATTTTTAAAAAACAGAAATAAGTACTGAAAACATGGAATAAGATTAAGTCATTAAAATTAATACAGTGGTTTAAAATTTCCCACAAGTTATTTGACTCACCGTTCATCAAATATCAATAATGTATAAAAGTGACACTATGTTTTTGCTTAGTTTAGGTCATAAAAGGCCATTCATTCACATGAACTGTTGAATAAATTTGTTCTGAGAAATCTAATCGACAAGGAGACTTAGTAGAGAAAAGAAGAGCCTTCACTGCTTTATATCTTTCTGAATTCCTGAACTTCAGAATCTACCACACAATAAAATATTCAATTTGCTATTTTACATAAAGTTTGGGGGTGCATTATATGTAGAAATAAAAAAGCAAACAAAAATTTGTTATCTTAAGTTAGATTTCAGTTTAATAAAATCCAAAACATATGTAATAAGTTTGGGAGCCATGCAACAAGTAGAAGACTGATAGGCCTTAAGTAGACTTAAGGTTAGGAGAAAAAGAAAAATGAAGAAGATAAAATGGGGAACTAAAAGGAAAAAAAAATTATATAGAGACAGAAATGCTGGTCAAACTATATTGCCTTCAGTAACATGAAAAATAGAAAATATTCAAAATGAATCAGTAGATTTGGCTAAAGAGATTTCCAGACAGAATGTTAAGAGTGTCAAGTGATGTCTTTTAACTGTGTATAACTAAATTTGGATGGAGACAAATGAGTTATAAACAGGATTTTCCGTTTCCAACCAAAATTTTAAAATAAATAAAGGATCCAGTACTCCTTAACTTCAGAAACAAAGCCAGTTTTGAATTCTCATAC